CTTCCACTATTCCTCCAAAGGGATCCCATTACACCAAAGTGTCCTTTGAAATGTATATTGCTTTCCAGCTCAAATAATTAATTTCTTCACTGATCCTATGCAGTCTATTCCATTCTGGCCTATTTGTGCTACTGGGCCATAAATTCCTAGAGAATATAAGTCTTAATTGTCCAATATGCTTCCTTTGTATAATTTCCATCCTCCAATGCTTTATAAGTACTTAAAAATATAGAAAATTTTAGTGTCTACCAGTCAAGAAAGACCCTGACGTTTATTCTCTTGATGAATTATGAATCCCTTTCCACAGGTAATTATTAATAATAAATTTTAAAATAGACATTGAATATGAGACAACTAAAAGTTCCAAGTGGATGAGGAAAACATTTTTATTTAAAAAAAAAAACAGGGGAGCACATTGTTTCTACTTCAAAGCAGATGAAGAGAACTGCCCTAGAAAAATTCTCTGACCAAAAGGTCCATGCCAAAATAATGCTAGCAAACAACTGCTAACAGCATGCATGTTTCCATTTGTTAAAGACAACTTTTTATTCCAGCAACTGTCTTGCCAATAAAATGTAAATAATGCTTTGAAAGGAGCCAATTATCTGGTGCAGCAATGTAGTTGAAATAAACAAAAGTATCCATCTGTCCCTCTATTCCCACCTGCCCAGCCACTGCTGAGACTGAGAATGAAGAAAAGTTCCTGAACATCAGAAAAAAAGGCAGACTGGGCATTGAGTACCACTGAGTGCCTCTAAACCAGCAAGGTAACTGGGCATGTTAGAGATTAAACCTATCGTTTTATTTTTTTTTATATTTTATTTACTTATGCATGAGAGACATATATAGAGAGAGGCAAAGACACAGGCAGAGGGAGAAGCAGGCTCCATGCACCGGAAGCCCGACGTGGGATTCGATCCCGGGTCTCCAGGATCGCGCCCTGGGCCAAAGGCAGGCGCCAAACCGCTGCGCCACCCAGGGATCCCTAAACCTATCGTTTTATAATGAAGTTAACTAAAAGTAAGCAAGTAGTTCAGCCTCATAGCAGATGGATTTAAAAAGAAAATGTTTATCATTGTGACATTGTTCAAATTAGGACATCAAGGAAGAGTCTTTCATGATATTCTTATTAAAAATATGGTCTTGATTGTAAGTCTCCTTTCATTATTTCTCTTGCTTTGCTGACACAATATTAATAAAGTTTTTAATAGTACCAGGATCTATTCTTATAACAATTTCTAAAATCATAAAGAGTTATGGGTACAGGATAAACAATTCTCCATCACCTTCTTTTCTGGGAAGCCATAACAATAAGAGCTGAAGTACTGGGAGACGCTGAGACATATTAATTTAAGGGCACCAAAATGATAAATGAATTTGTAATTCAATCACCTGGTAACAAGGAAATTCAGCTCAGCCAGTTCATCAACCAAGTGACCTGGTCTTAGGCATGTTGAGAGGGATACCAGGATTGATAATAATCCAGAAAGCAGAGATTCCTGTCCTTCCTTCTTATCTCCACCCTGACCCAGCTCACAAATGTATTAGGGTGGGTAGTCAAAACACAAGTCAAATTCAAGTGGCTAAACCCCTCCCTGGCTTTGCCCTTTGGGCGCAAAAGCCTTCCAGATATTCTCCTTCTTTGGTTGAATATACTGGTTCTGGGTTCCATCCCTAGGAATGTTCTCAAGATGGTTTGCTGAAAATTAAGGGATTTAGGCCTTTACTCTGAAAGTCATGAAGCACCTTTGACACTCAGACCAAGCGTCCTTCTGCTATAACAGTTATAAGAATAAAAATCAAAGAAACGTTCGCAGTGTGAAGAAGCATGGGGTCCAGGTGTCTGGGAAAGTGGGGAGCAAATATAACTTGTACATTTTCCTCAAATGTTGGCAAAAGAATAATAGCTCACTGAACAACCCATTCCTGCTCAAGGAAAAAATTAGCAGATGCATAAAATTATCTTTATTTTGAAAATCCTGACACTGCCTATCAATCATGTGTCCATATATGTGCAAAGAAAAATGCTGTGCTAATATTCAATTCAGAAAACACAGAAGACTACAGACATGAAATCCAAGGTAAGCCAAAACAAAGGTGTAAGATACACTCTATTGGATATATTTGGCCCAACTTTGAATGGTTCTGACAGGACCAGAAGAAATATTGTCAGGATCAGAGTTAGTCTGACAAGGTCTTTATAACCTTTATTTATCTCGAGAGTCATTTACTAAAACCTCAAGAACTGTCCAGCTCTGGAACCACCAGGATTTTAGGGCAGTTGGGTTTGAAATGTCTATTACAATATCAATGAATCAAAGAGACTTGGGTCTGTTTTTTTGTTTTGTTTTATTTTGTTGGTATTTTTTTTTCCTCAAGGAATCCTTGAGACTTTCAGTGCAGGTCTGAGTCCAGAGGAAATTCCATTTTCCCTCATGATCTTTCTAAATTGGTAGTCCCCAGAAGCAACAATACCATATTGCCCTGGAATGAATATATCTAGAACTGTTCTAGTTAGAATGGTTACAAGATCAGGCATACGTGGTAAATTTGCTCCATGATTGTCTTTCAACTATTCTGCTTCAGGATAAAATGAGAAATATTATGTGCATCCATTTTACTATTAGAGATAGTAAAATGCTATAAACTGTTAATTGTTGGGCACCTGGGTGGCACAGTCAGTTAAGCATCTGCCTTTGGCTCAGGCCATGATCCTTGAGTCCTGGGATCCATCCCTACTTTGGGCTCCCTGCTCAGTGGGGAGTCTACTTCTCCCTCTCCTGCTCCCCCTGCTTATGTGCTCTCTCTTGTGCTCTATCTTTAAAAAATGTTAATTGTTGAGATTGTTGCTGTTGTTTGAGGTAGCAATAACTGAAGTGACACAATTTATGTGTTTAGCTTAGAGTTGATTTGGGATATAACAATTAAGTATTATTATGGAAAGCTAAGTATGGGGATATCATAAGGTAGAGCCTGAGAGGTAAGCAAGACCAGAATTCCATCTGTACCTAAAGCTTAATGACTCAACCAAATTGAAAAAAGCAAATTCAAGGGTTGGCTTAAGATTTAGCCACTGCTTGAATGATGGGGAAAAAATTAAGATATATACAAGCAACCTGAATACTGAGAAAAAAATATGAAAGTGTTGCCAAAATGAAACAGCAAAAGGTGTCTGGGTACACGTGTGTGTGTATGTGTGTATGTAATCATCTTTTATGTAGGAAAGTCTTGGAATAATGCCACACATTTGCTTTAGAATACTCTCATTAGTATATAACATATATAAAATACATGTATATGTATAATACATTGTATATATATATAATGTATAATGTATTATATATATACACATATAATACATCCCATTTGGAAGAGTCCCTCAGAAAAATTAAGCATACTCCACCAATACTGTTTTCCTAGAAAAATGTGACAAAAATTTAAACAGAGTTATTCTATCCAGGTATAAAGTGAGAATCAATTATGACCTTTTCCTTTTCTGGATTCACTTCATTTTTAAAAGTGTCTAACTAAAACCCTTTCTGATATAGTGAAAAATCACTTTTTTGAGATACAAGACTAGTAAATGATAATACTCGTCTGTATCCTATGACACACTATTAATCTTCTGAGAATTAAACAGTCTCTGTTTCAGTTATATAAATGTTTAGTTTTTCATCTTTAGTCTTAGAAAGGTTGCCCAGAAAGTATATTATCTCTGCGGATGTCACCACTTGCCAATTAGGGAAAACAGCAGTGCACAATCAGTTGTGACCTCTATATATTACAGACATTGACACTTGGGTCTGCTGGGGAGGGGATGGATTAGACAATTTAACAGAATCTACAGTGACAAACTTTTTTCTATGAAAAACATTTCCTTTTTTGAATTGTGTAATATTCTCCTTTGGATTCATTTATAAGACCAAAACAAAAAGCATTTAATGATGTTTACAGTGAAATGAAACAGCTGAAGACCAGCACATAATCACCATATTTTGTTTTCTCATCTTTAAGTCTTTTAGCAGTAGGGCTTCCAGCTGAGCTTGCGTCTAGCTTCTCTCAAGACATAGCCAAGCATTCTGAAGCTTCACTGAGCCTAAACACCAAGCTGAATTCATAGTTCTTAATTGAAAAAGACAGGCTGTTTTCCTAGCATGTTTGCATCCGTAAAACATTGAAAATGACATTTGTGCCCAAGTCCATTCGAATATTCTGCCTTTGCTGAACTCTGCTAATGTTTTTATACCCTGGTTTATGCCCACCACAGCTTTAAATAGCTCCTCTTGCTAAAGCATGTGTGGCTGCATTCACAAAAATAGACTCTTTTTCATACATGAGAATGCTATTCCTGAGATTTGCTTTGAGATGTTTTTCATATGCACAGAATATTACTTTGATGAGCCATGTTTTCTTACACTAGTCTCTCCTATGATGAATGGCATGCATGTGTGTGGTAGCTAGAGGGAGTTGGCATACCCACCCCATAAACAAAATGGGAAGTTTGGTACTTTCTCTCTTCAGTAAAGGGTATACAATCTGTGGTCAGAGAACAGAGTCTCTCTCTGGGTAATGTTAACCAGCCTGATATAGAAATAAAATCCACCCCTTTGGTCTCATTAGTGCTATGTTCTGTGCAACTCAACTGATCAGTTAAATTTCATGTACTAAAGTAAAATGAGGCATTTATTCCTGGTGAGAAAGTATCTGCTCATTTTCTATGTGCTCAGTGCAGTTATTATTAAAGAGAATGTACACAATATGAATAAGTAGTTAGCTTTTAAACTGCCTGCAACCTTATACAAACCTAGGAGATCCACTCAGGGAGGATGAAGAAGAACCTGGTCAAGTGTCAGAACATCTCAAAACTCTGTAGATGCTATTCAGGCATAAGCACAGTACACACCTTTATGACACTTACTACAGTAAAGTAGTACAATGTACCTACAAATATTTGGATTTTTTGGGATCATAGCTGCAACTTACATCCAATCAGCCCTTACCATGGTCAGGCATCTGAGATCCCATGGAGGTCACACTGGTGTTCAGCACATCATTGACAGCAGTATCACAATACAGGCTCCGCTGGACATCATGCTCACTGTCAGTCTGGTCACTCTCTTCATGACCACTATCCTTCAGGCTGTTGCCCTCTAAGTCCTTGAAGGTAGAGCTGCTGGGTTGAAGAAAGAATGATAATTTACAACTGTGATAATCTGATCTTTAAAGTCTTTCAGAGCCAGGATGATATCAGCTCTGTGGTGAGGCCAACAGTGACTGGACTGTCAAAAAGAGTAGAAAAAAAGAAATTTCTGTTTAAAGATAATGGAAGTTGGGGCACCAGGGTGGCTCAGTTGGATGAGTATCCAAATTGTGATTTTGGCTCAGGTCCTGATCTCATGGGTTGTGATATCGAGCACTGTGTTGGGCTCCGTGCTCAGAGGGGAGTGTGCTTGGGATTCTCTCCCTCCCTCTCCTTCTGCCCCTCTCACAGGATTCTGTGCTCTCTCTCTCTCAAATAAATAAACAAACAAACATATAAATAATTTTGTTTACAAACAAAGATAATGGAACTTAACACTGCAGAGAGGTTCTGAGTATTGAATGCTGATGTAGCTAATACTTTCATTCACTTATCTTCAATGCATTACTACAGGCAAGGTGGAAGAAGATAGAAATTTGAAACAACCACCTGCAAAGAATATTACCATTTCAGAAGGTTTTCTCTCTTCTTATGTAATCAAAGTAAAATAATAGCTACTGTTTCCTGAGCAATTACTACACATAAGACTCTGTTCTAAGTGCTTGACATGAATTAACTTTTTTAATCATCACAACTATATAAGAGAAAGGTACCATTAATATTGCCATTTATAGATGAAAGAACAGAAGCACAAGGAAGTTAAATAACCTGCCCAAGTCATACAGCTGAGGAAATGTAACAGATCTAAGGCCAAATCCAGTCAGTCTAGCTCCAGAGCCTGGGCCCTTAAATACTATGTAAATTGCTTCTCCAAAGAGGTCTACTAATCAACTGCAAAAATTGAAGTGGCAGAAATTAAGGTAATGCAATTAAAATAGAAAGGATTATCAGGACCAGAGAACTCAGGTCAGTTTTAGCTGAGAAATTCAGAGAGATAGATTCAAAGGAAAAGAAGAGAGGCAGGAGCTGAGAAGAGGAGAGCCTTGGTGCATGCACAGTAAGATATAAGTGAGAAGCAGAGAGTTGAGCTCTAATAAAACTGTGAGTGTAGTTAAGCTAAAAATATGAAAACTTTCAGCTGAGGAGTTTATGGGCCAATTTTTCTTGCATTTGTTAAATCAGTCCACCATACAGTGCACTAAACATACCATCCAAGAACCTCACACAAAAATAGAGAATAATACATAAGGTACATCCATAGAGGCCCCACCTGTTTTTTCTAACACTTTGTATGTCCTGACAGAATCTGCGGATGTGCAACACTAAGGACCATAAATTATGCATCTGAAATACCTAGTGGAATGGTGAATCCATTCCCCAATCAGTGAGGAAGTATCAAGATAATGTGTTGTCATCTTAATAACAGAGTGTCATGCTTGTGAATTAGAAGTCTCAACAGACCTACTGTACCTTTGAAAAGAGAGCCTGTGGAGATGATAGTGTAAACTCATTTGATGTGCTCAACCTTGAATATCCACAGGGCTGGCTCTCTGAGGCTTTGATAAGAACATTCGGTATATATGATGAAGAGCTACGCCATGGACACAATAGATACATTGTCATTCTCTACATTGGTCAAAAGGAATCACAGCAGATTTTTAACATATGACCAATCTAGATGTAGAATGCTTGCTTCCATGAATATGAAAAGGAAAAGATCAAAAGGGCAGTAACTGGAAAGCCATAATTATAAGAAAATGAAGAGCAGGAGAGAGTAAAACATTGACCTGTTTGCTAATTACTTTCAGGAAGGATCACTGAGCATCACCTGTATTAAAACTAAAATCATTCAATAAGCCAATTCACTCAGCTCCTCCAAAATTATGTCATGCAGCTACTCAGCCCTGTGGACCCACCAGTATGCAGTTCCATTAAAAAAACAAAAAACAAAAAACAAAAAACCAATCATCTGGGATCCCTGGGTGGCGCAGTGGTTTGGCGCCTGCCTTTGGCCCAGGGCGTGATCCTGGAGACCCGGGATTGAATCCCACGTCGGGCTCCCGGTGCATGGAGCCGGCTTCTCCCTCTGCCCCGCCCCCCCCCTCTGTGTGACTATCATAAAAAAAAAAACAATCATCCTAAAATTATTTTATGGTCAAGAAGACCAATTGGAAGTACAGGCTTTAGAGTGTGTAACAATTTCTAGCTTTATGGCACAGATGTTGGGGCGTCCTGTAAATACTAATCCCATAGCTTGAACAGATTCAAAGTTTGTCTTTTAGAAAAAAAAATTGGTCCTGTCCATATGGACTCCTGTATCTCAGAAGGGAAATGACCTGCCTTGTTCATATATTTTTATACCAAATATTAATTTTTGACCTGCATTTCTGGTATCTGCAGCACATGAAAATTTCTTTAATCTAGAACACAAAATTGTTGCTTTAAGCCAGAGACTTCAACCCTGAATTGGGTGCATTTCAGCAGTTGACAAAATATGCTGGAGACATACATTAAGGAGTATAAGGACAATGTAATTAACCATCCCTTAGACCACGGTTTCTCAACCTTGGCATTACTGACATTTTAAGCTGCATAATTTTTTATGCACATTGTAGAATGTTCATCAGCATCCCTGGCCTCTACCCATTAGATGCTAGTAGGGCCTCTTCCAGAAGTTACACCAAAAAGGTCTCCATACATTGCCAAATCACACTCAGCTGAAAATCACTGCTTTAGGTTCTTTCAAACTCTTTTCTACCAGATTTTCAGACTAAAGCGGAAAGAGCACTGTCATTAGAATAAGTGACAATCATACTATCCCACTTCATCTATGGGAGACTGGGCCTGTTATCTAATGTCTTTGAGCCTCAATTTCCTTGTCTATAAAATGCATTTTCTAAAACCTTCTTCACAAGGTCATTTGGATGACTCAGTGAGATACTGTACATGAAGTACTGGGTACACACAAATGCTCAATAAATGGTAATTGTTTAATATGATCATTATTCCATATGGTAATGTCTTCATTGAGTTATAGTTAAATATTACACCTGTGGTCTTTCTGTGGTCTTTCTTTCTAACTGATATAGGAAATGGGTATTTAAATAATGTCTCTATATCTTCCATAAACTATAGTCAAACACTGTATGCTATATTAATTTCTCCTAGAATTCAGGAACAGGAAAAGAAAGTCTCCTGTCAAATGTGTGTCCTTTGTTTATTGAAAAATGAGAACTATATGCCGTGGTTTACTTACCATTTTGTATTGGCTTCTCAAAAGCTTCATGATAAATATAATGTTTAATTGCAGTGATTTGGATGCCAAGGATCACTATTTAGGTTCACCCAATTGGAAGTATGCCTTTTTAATGTTTGATCATCTTTTTTATATGTATCTGAATATTACAAACCACCTCACAGATTTTGTTTTTTGTTTTTGATAGAAATGAGAGAAATAATAAAATAGTTAAGGATTGTCTATCTTTTTAAAGCTTGATCACCTTTTTAAAGTTTGATCACCTTTTTTTAAATGTATCTAAATATTACAAACCATCTCAGAGATTTTGGTTTTTTTTATAGAAATGAGAGAAATAATAAAATAGTTAAGAATTGGCTATTTGGGACTGGTAGTGCGAGTATAAAAAGTCAGGTATTCTTTGCTAAAATAAAAAACATGAGAAACAGCAAGTATTGGTGAGGATGTGGATAAAAAGGAACCTTCATGCACTGTTGGTAGGAATGCAAACTAGTGCAGCCACTGTGGAAAATAGTATGGAGGTTTCTCAAAAAAATAAAAATATAACTATCCTACAATACAGTAATCCCATCCCTAAGCATTTATCCCCATAATACAAAAACACTAATTCAAAAGGCTATATACACCCCTATGTTTATTGCAGCATTATTTACGTACAGTAGCCAAATTATGGAAGCAGCTCAAGTGTCTGCTGATACATAAATGGATAAAGAAGAGGTTATATATATATATATATATATATATATATGACATTTATACATACATTTGGTGATAACAAAATATGTATAATATAATATATAATAGATATATATAAGATATATAAGATAATATATGTAAATATACATATTTATATATAAAATGGAATATTATTCAACCACAAAAAAATGAAATCCTGCCATCTTCAACAACATGGATGGAGCTAGAGAGTATAATGCTAAGTGAAATAGATCAGAGAAAGATGAATACCATATGATTTCACTCACATGTGGAATTTAAGAAACAAAACAAAATGAGAGAGAGGGAGAGAGAGGGGCAAACCAAGGAAAAAACCTCTAACTATAGAGAACAACCTGATAGTTACCAGAGGGGAGGTAGGTGGGGGAATGGGTGAAAGAGGTGATGGGGATTTGGAGTACACGTATCCTGATGAACACTGAGTAAGGTATAAAATTGTTGAATCACTGGGATACCTGGGTGGCTCAGCGGTTTGGCACCTGCCTTCGGCCCAGGGCATAATCCTGCAGACCTGGGATCGAGTCCCACATTGGGCTCCCTGCATGGAGCCTGCTTCTCCTTCTGCCTGTGTCTCTGCCTCTCTCTCTCTATCTCTCATAAATAAATAAATAAAAATCTTTTAAAAAAAAGAATTGTTGAATCACTATATTGTACATCTGAAACTAGTATAACATTGTATGGTAATTCTACTGGAATTAAAATTTTAAACTCAATAAAAATTGTTTAAAAGACTCCAAAAAAGATAGTCATGTATTCTCTGAAAAAAAAAATGCAAGGGATGGGATGCCTGGGTGGCTAGCGGTTGAGCATCTGTCTTGGGCTCAGGGCATGATCCCAGATCCTCGATGGAGTCCTGCATCGGGCTCCCCGCAGGGAGCCTGCTTCTTTCTCTGCCTATGTCTCTGCCTCTCTCTGTGTGTCTCTCATGAATAAATAAATAAATCTTTAAAAAATAAATAATAGGATGTTTTAAAAAAAATGCAAGGGGTGTAACTCCCCTCCCCCAAACCCTGGAACCCACTAAAAGATCAGTTTTCCCATCTGCCGAACTAAGTACCACTTACTTTAATCTTGTCAGGACATTTAGTGGCTTAATGAATGGATCTGGGTAAGGTAGTTTAAGGCCCCGGGAGCAAGATGCTGCAAATTGTAAAACAGCCTGGTAAATGGCTACTCACCCAAAACAAATAACAATTTATGCCAGGCATAAAAAATGCTGATTTCACTTGTTTTATTACCTGTGTACCTCTTGGGAAATGAAAGACTTGTAAACCAACTTTTGTAGGACAATAAATTAGGAGTACCCATTTGCAATGGTATTGTAAATGCAAATGTTTCTATTACTACGCTGGTGCCAACAAAGGAACAGATTTGTGTGAAAACACCTACAGCAAGACTCTGAACATGAGAGTTACATAGAAAATGCTTAATGAATAAACATTATTCCAATTCTGACCCATATTTACCCTTTAAAATATTGGAAATCTTTCCCAGAGACAGAATAATCTGAAAGAAAACAGGTCATATCTTCCTAGCAGGTGAGACCACATACCCAAGGAATGCCACGTAAGAGTAAGAATGAGAAGAAAGGAAAAGTCAAGAGTATTGTAACTATATTTAGAGAATATAAGGATGATTCTACAGTGGTTCCTGGACCTCCTACCTGCATCATAATCACGTCTGGAACCTATGAAAACTGGAGATTCTCTAGGGATGGAGCTAAAAGACTTTGCATTTAACAAACCTCCCAGGCGATTCTTTTTTTTTTTTTTAAAAAAGATTGTATTTATTTATTCATGAGAGACACAGCAAGAGAGGCAGAGACATAGACAGAGGGAGAAGCAGGCTCCTCACAGGGAACCCGATGCGGGACTCGAACCCCCAACCGGGGATCATGCCCTGAGCCAAAGGCAGATGCTCAATCCCTGAGCCACCCAGGCATCCCCTCCGAGGTGATTCTAATGCATATCAAAGGTCAGAAATTACTGGTTTAGAGGGATATTTCGTGCCAATTTCCATTGATAAAATGCTGAGATTTTCTTCAACTTCTTTCATCCATTCATTCAATAAACATGTACCAGCACTTGTTATAGACAAGACATTATACCAGGTGCAGCAAAACTCCAGAACACGTCGGGTGGAAAAGGAAAGCACTATGTATGCTTTAGGAGCCAATGGTCATTTTCCCTTCCACCCTGCTTCACTATCTTGTTCATTTCCTGCTTCATTTTCTTTGAGCTACAGCCTCATGCCCCGCTTGATATTGCTCCAAAAGCACTGTGGGAGTAGACATTAGATAGCAGCAGAGAAACCAAGCATGAAGAAAGAGAGTGTTGCAGCAGGGGCAAAGTGCAACTGCTGGCTTGCCTTGTTCTGAGAAGATACCAGGGAAACAAACACAGCAGGAAGGAAGCACATCCAAAAAAGTTTCTAAACCATCTTGGCTAGTTAATCTGGAATTCTGACATAAGCCGTGGGTACACCTGCAGGTTGCAGGTGATGTTCTGAAAACAACAAAACTACATAAATATGACACCAGATTCTGGGGTGCAAAGATGATGTGACATTTATCTTCCCTTTCTGTTCCAGATCCACTCTCTACCCTTTTCAACCTTGATTTGTGCTTAAGGGAACTCCCTTGCTCCCTGTCTTTCCATTGGTTTACCCAAGGTAAACAGATGTGAGAGTGGAAAAGCAGCCTGTGTGTAAACTGTCTGGATGAGACAGTTAACAACTGCTGGAGAATGCCGAAGAGAAGGGTCCAAGAAGCATCCTTGGGTAAGTAGAAACTAAACAGAGGGAAAGAAAATGGATAGGAAAAGAAGTTCTCAAAATTCTCCTGAAATTGGATTCAAAGAAACAGGACTTGATGGTAAAATTAAAACAAGATTCAGAATTTCCTGGCTGGGAGATTTTTCCATGCATATAAATGGATCCTCAAGAAACCACATACAGTGAAACCCCTTTCAAACATCACTGTGAGCTATTCGAACATAGTTTGCATGGTTTTTATCACCTGGTGTTATAACTCTCTCTTAATATTTTCCACACATTTTACATTTAAAATGGTTAGTCCCCAAAAAAGCATAGCACACGAGATTTCCTGTATCTTTCCAGGTATTGTGCTTTGTCTAAACTCAATGGATCCGGTAAATTCCAAGGCCTTTGTGGTTTTCCAAAGCCGTCAATGTTCCAAAAACAGAATCTGGCAAAAATGCATGTGTCCCTGAGTTTTCAGATGTTTCCTCTTAATCAAAGTGGTCCCTGGTAAAAAGTCACTATTTTAGGTTTCAGGCAACATCAGGAGACTTTTCCACTGAAAGCCTGTGTTAAGTCCAGGTTGTGCATTTTGTGTGTAAACCAAAACATATAAAGTAATTAACCAAAATCAGAGGTTTCTAGGGAGTCCCAAAGCTGCTGTGGAAATACATGTATCCTGAAAACTAAATGTTTAAATGTTAAGTTTTAATCTCATCATTCAGCCTGGGCACTGTATATTCGGGGCTGACCTAAGACAGCGAGGGTCCCTAGGAGAAGGCTTTCTGCCTTGCTCTGAAAATCAGGCTTATGGCAAAAGTTTAACCTGGTCATAGAATTCCCAGGGACCCAGAGCTAGCCCAAGGAACTGGTGAAGATAAAAAAAAATCTGCTTTTACCAGAATTTTTATCAGAAGCTTTGAAATAACAGTCCTAAAGCAGAAAATAAAGTATAAATAAAAATAAAGTAGATTTCTGCTACAAAGTTACTCTAAATAGCACACATAAAGAGGGGCCTTTTTCCTCCTAAAACAAATGAGTCAGGTAATTTTGAATTCCTTACATTTTGAGTTTATTCTGTGAGCTAAGAAAATATTCAAAGTAGATTTCTCCCAACCTCTCAAGAAAATTCCAAACTGCTATGACCAGTAATGCTGGGCTATTCATTTTAATTAATAATAATTAATGGTCATCACTTAAGTTCACAAGCAATTCCAGACCAATACAGATAAACCTAGCATGATTTCAGGGGTTACTGCAGCATCATGATTTAAATTAAATATGAATTAAAGTGACTTGTTCAACAAGCCAGTTTATTCTTCAAATCATATTCATCTGGTGAGGTAGATTTATGGGATTGGAGCCAGCAAAATAATAGAATTTTCACATCTTCTCTACTGTAGCTCCAATAGACCCTGCTTCTCTCTTTATTTTATTTATATTATTTTAACAAACACACTCCAATTCCATTTTAGCTGCAGAATAACCACTGGACCATTCAAGAGGATATTTGCATGAAGAGTAATGAAGGCATCATGTGAATAGTCAGTACTGGTTTTTCAGCCCAGTAAGTTCTCCACTTTGTTTAGTGCTCCCTCCTTAGAGGGCTCCCTGAACCTTGGTACCCACTGCCTCAGATGGAATCTTCCTTGGCAGAATTCAGCTCGGTATTCTGTGGCTCTATGGATAACAGAGTTATGACTAACCAATCACACAAATCCTCTTTGGGTTTTTTGTATTTTTGTTTTTTGAAAATATTATTTATTTGACAGAGAGACAAAGAGAACCAGAGAGCACAAGTCGGGGGAATGGCAGAGGGAGAGGAAAAAGCAGGCATCCTGCCAAGCAGAAAGCCCACTGTGGGACTTGACATCAGGTTTCATCCCAGGCTTTATCCCAGGACCCTCGGATCATGACCTGAGCTGAAGGCAGATACTTAACTGATTGAGCCACCCAGGTACCCCACAAATCCTAACTTTGAATGCTACATTTGAAACACTTCCAAATATCTTAAGAAATGTTGAATCATGCAAAGATTTTTTTTTTCTGAGACGCCAGGGTAGCTCAGCGGTTGAGCATCTGCCTTAGGCTCAGGGCATGATTCAGGGTAGGGGGATCAAATTCCACATAGGGCTCCCTGTGAGAAGCCTGCTTCTCCGTCTTTCTATGTCTCTGCCTCTCTGTGTCTCTCATAAATCAATCAATCAATCAATCAATCTTTAAAAAAAGATTTTTTTGTTTTCCAGTCTCACCTATAACATTTTTAAAAGATTAGAAATTAGTTTACTGCCATTAACATATCTTTAAAATGATTCCAAAGTAAACAAAAGCATAGCAATCTTGAAATTCACTGAAAGTTCCACATGAGAAATTGTTTAAGGCCTCTCTCCATTGAAAGCGAAGAGCAACAAGAATTTTGATATCAACGTGATTTTGAAAATATCTGTTTTCTAATATCAGATATCAAAATCATCATATAAAACTATTTTAATATGATCCCAGTTTTTTTAAAATTTGTGTCTATGGATACATTTTGATGTAAAGGAGAATGGTAAAATGCCAACGGTGATTATTTTCAGGTAGTGGAATTACCGCGATTTTTATTTTTCTATGTTTTTCTAAATTTTTCAAATCTCTTACAATAAGCAGACAGGCGTTCATTTTAAAATCCAAAAACAGACATTCATTTTAAAATCCAACAACAGGGATCCCTGGGTGGCGCAGCGGTTTGGCGCCTGCCTTTGGCCCAGGGCGCGATCCTGGAGACCTGGGATCGAATCCCACATCGGGCTCCCAGTGCATGGAGCCTGCTTCTACCTCTGCCTGTGTCTCTGCCTCTCTCTCTCTCTCTCTCTCTCTCTCTCTCTCTCTCTCTGTGACTATCATAAATAAATAAAAATTAAAAAAAAAATAAAATCCAACAACAAAGGCATCATGGGGCACCTGGGTGGTTCAGTTGGTTAAGCACTCACCTCTTGATTTTGGATCCAGTCATGATCTCAGGGTCATGAGATCCAGCCCCAAGTCAGACACCCCGCTCAGCAGGAAATCTGCTTGAGAGTCTCTCTCTCTGCTCCTCACCCTACCCCCCCAACTCGTGCACATTCTCTAAAATAAATAAATAAATCTTGACATAAAAACAAAGGCATCATTTAAAAAGCTTAATCTGTTTTGCTTTTTCTATTAAGTGAAGCTTAGTCATAGAAATAGACAAGCAAATCAACATACCTTTTGATTAAATGGGCTCGGCTGTTCACATAGTTGGAATCAAAGGAATAGTTTTCAGTCTGCAAAGGGGAAACAAAAGATTAAAAAGGTTACATAGATGATTCATGAAGAGAGCCAAACTGTTCTACTTAGGGGGGAGTTTTTCTGCTGTGTGAGAAGCAATGAATTAATCAGAAACCAAGGCCATAGTGGGAAAACAGCCTCAAGAATTTCTGCCGCTTTCTTAGGGCCATGGGGGTTCTGTGGAGGCAGCCCTCAACTGCAGGCCAAGATGAAATTGATACAAACATCCCCTAGAATACCATGACTACTGACCATACAACCACTTGGAGGAAGATACAGCATGACGCACAATCTTTACAGAAACTAATTGCTTCCCGTTCCCAGCGGATATAATTCTGTGCCCATCAAATTGACCGGAAGTTCAAAGGTATTTTTTATTAGTAGTAGATAATTAACAAGTTAAAATATTTAATCCATGGATAGGGAAATGCAGGCAAGGTAATCCCCTACTGTGGATTTAAACTCTGCACTTCTCTTTAAGGCATTTTGCTCAGCATTGGTTATGCAGGAAGCCCTTTTTTTTTTAACAGATATAAAGGCAAACAAATATTATGCCTGAAACTGGGTGAAGGGCAGTCCACAGGGGGTGCCAAAACTTTTTGTGTGAAACATGAAGTTTGCAAGCAAACCCTGTCTCAGCTCCTATCATTAAAACGCTACTGCCTAATCTGGTTACAGTAGACTGCCTGAGCAACAGCTTTACAAAAGCAAATGCAGAACACCTGCCATATGAGATGGGAAACTGTTAATGAGCACCCAAAGGGGGCAGCCTTAGAAGGTGGGAATGAAGAGAAAAGTTGACACGGAAGTAACTGAAAGTCCTAGGAAGGTGAACCTTACCTCAACACTAAAGTACTACTTTCACTGAACCATTGTATCTACTGGAAAATGCCTAATAACATCTCCACCCTCCTGCTATTCCACCAGAAATCCTCACCATTCTCACCATGCCTTAGGGCCTTCTGAAATCACTGACTAAAAGTACCTGAAAAAGGAAACAGAACAGCTATCTAGCTAACAAAATAGCAGATAGCTTTCAGATGACTAGCCCTCAGACATTAACAGTGCTAGGCTCTTAGATGCTTTTGGTTTCAAGGAACTCAGAGATTGGTAGAAGAGAAAATAGGATAGATGGTAGCAAACCCAACTACCACGTGAGTACCAAACAGCTAACAGTTGGGGAAGAGGGGACCCTAAGTATCTAGAGTAGCTGGGGATGACAGCAGTGAGCAGGTGGGAGAAAGTAGGAGAGAGTGCTGAGAAGGTAACTACATACCACCATTGTCTTGTACTCAGCATGCTCATGCCCTCTACATGCTCCTCATTTGATGATGGCCTCTGTAATATCCCCTCACACTGCTTTTATCTAGGGGATAAAATCCCCTTTAATGTAAACCACAAATGATTTTTGGTTCTGTTATAAGGAATGGATTGGGAGAGTAAAAAATCAAAAAGGTCAGTTCATTTCGAATCTGTTCATAAGAAAATGGATGCTGAAAAAAATAAAAATAATGAAAATAAAAGAAAATGGATGGTGAAATTGCTGCAAATATAATTAGAGGAAGATGAGGTAGACTTGAAGCGGCATTGGGAATACAATGCTGGAAGTATTGCTAGAAGAAGTCACCCATCTGTAAGTCGATCAATAAGCATTTCTTGAATAAATTATTATCCCAACATAATAGGCAAAATTTGTCCTGGGTAAATGTGCTCTTTTATAATATTCAATACAATATATAATATAACAAGTGGAAGTCTCCACCTGTCAGAAAGCATGCTATCTAATTAAAACAGGAAATGGATTAAGTACTCAATGACTAGTTTCAAAGTGCAACCTTGGGTAAATTACCTAATTTCTGCATGCCTCACTTTCCTCATATATAGAATAGGGACATGAATCCAAAGGGAAAGTTCCACTGAATTTTTCATGGCTCACGGTGGAAATGCTGGGAATCGTTAACTTAACCCCGCTTTCCATGGGACCTGAAACCCCAAATAGGATCAAGAATTTGACCTCATTCAAGGAATAAAAGAATAGCATGAACACATTTCATCTCAGCCTCCAAACGTACTAAAACATTTTTTTCAAGAGGGGCACCTGGGTGGCTGAGTGGTTGAGTCTCTGCCTTCGTTGTATCCTGGGGTCCTGGGATCAAGTCCTGTATTGGCCTCCCTGTGGAGAGCCTGCTTCTCCCTCTGCTGATGTCTGCGCCTCTCTCTGTGTGTCTCTCATGAATAAATAAATAAAATCTTTAAAAAATCATTTTTTCAAGAAAGTTAATAGACACAAAAAGCAAAAAAGGAAATTGTGAGCACACTGGCTTTGCAGGAAAAGCATTGAGGAATAACTCAAGATACCATCATGTTGAAGAAGCCAGTTTTCTTTTCTTTTTTTTATAATAAATTTATTTTTTATTGGTGTTCAATTTACCAACATACAGAATAACACCCAGTGCTCATCCCGTCAAGTGCCCCGCTCAGTGCCCGTCACCCATTCACACCCACCCCCCCGCCCTCCTCCCCTTCCACCACCCCTAGTTCCTTTCCCAGAGTTAGGAGTCTTTATGTTCTGTCTCCCTTTCTGATATTTCCCACACATTTCTTCTCCCTTCCCTTATATTCCCTTTCACTATTATTTATATTTCCCAAATGAATGAGAACATACACTGTTTGTCCTTCTCCGATTGACTTACTTCACTGACTTACTTCACTCAGCATAATACCTTCCACTTCCATCCACGTTGAAGCAAATGGTGGGTATTTGTCGTTTCTAATGGCTGAGTAATATTCCATTGTATACATAAACCACATCTCCTTTATCCATTCATCTTTCGATGGACACCGAGGCTCCTTCCACAATTTGGCTATTGTGGACAATGCTGCTATAAACATCGAGGTGCAGGTGTCCTGGCGTTTCATTGCATCTGAATCTTTGGGGTAAATCCCCAACAGTGCAATTGCTGGGTTGTAGGGCAGGTCTATTTTTAACTCTTTGAGGAACCTCCACACAGGAGTCAATCCTATTTACAATTGCACCCAAAAGCATAAGATACCTAGGAATAAACCTAACCAAAGAGGTAAAGGATCTATACCCTAAAAACTATAGAACACTTCTGAAAGAAATTGAGGAAGACACAAAGAGATGGAAAAATATTCCATGCTCATGGATTGGCAGAATTAATATTGTGAAAATGTCAATGTTACCCAGGGCAATTTACACATTTAATGCAATCCCTATCAAAATACCATGGACTTTTTTCAGAGAGTTAGAACAAATTATTTTAAGATTTGTGTGGAATCAGAAAAGACCCCGAATAGCCAGGGGAATTTTAAAAAAGAAAACCATAGCTGGGGGCATCACAATGCCAGATTTCAGGTTGTACTACAAAGCTGTGGTCATCAAGACAGTGTGGTACTGGCACAAAAACAGACACATAGATCAAGGGAACAGAATAGAGAACCCAGAAGTGGACCCTGAACTTTATGGTCAACTAATATTCGATAAAGGAGGAAAGACTATCCACTGGAAGAAAGACAGTCTCTTCAATAAATGGTGCTAGGGAAATTGGACATCCACATGCAGAAGAATGAAACTAGATCACTCTCTTGCACCATACACAAAGATAAACTCAAAATGGATGAAAGATCTAAATGTGAGACAAGATTCCATCAAAATCCTAGAGGAGAACACAGGCAACACCCTTTTTGAACTCAGCCACAGTAACTTCTTGCAAGATACATCCATGAAGGCAAAAGAAACAAAAGCAAAAATGAACTATTGGGATTTCATCAAGATAAGAAGCTTTTGCCCAGCAAAGGATACAGTCAACAGAACTAAAAGACAACCTACAGAATGGGAGAAGATATTTGCAAATGATGTATCAGATAAAGGGCTAGTTTCTAAGATCTATAAAGAACTTCTTAAACTCAACAGCAAAGAAACAAACAATCCAATCATGAAATGGGCAAAAGACATGAAGAGAAGTATCACAGAGGAAGACATAGACATGGCCAACACGCACATGAGAAAATGCTCTGCATCACTTGCCATCAGGGAAATACAAATCAAAACCACAATGAGATACCACCTCACACCAGTGAGAATGGGGAAAATTAACAAGGCAGGAAAGCACAAATGTTGGAGAGGATGCGGAGAAAAGGGAACCCTCTTACACTGTTGGTGGGAATGTGAAATGGTGCAGCCACTCTGGAAAGAAGCCAGTTTTCAAATAGAGTATTTTGCATATTTTTGCATAAAAGGCATCCAACCTGTGTGTACTATCCATACTGTGTGCAGTATGGACCTCTACAAAGACCTGACCTCCAGTCATAGCGCCAGAACTCTGTGTATGGGCAAATAAACAAAGCCATTCAAATTCTATCCCCAGTGACTATACTATGTCTTGATCCTAATGAAATAATATATCTACCATGTGGATTCCCTCTTGCAGGCACTGAGTAAAAGAAGAAACAAGTCTATAAGGCTTGCTTGTGAAGATCTTAATAATTCCCTTTCCCGGGCAGCCCTGGTGGCTCAGCGGTTTAGCGCCGCCTTCAGCCTGGGGGTGTGATCCTGGAGACCCGGGATCGAGTCCTGCATCGGCTCCCTTGCATGGAGCCTGCTTCTACCTCTGCCTGTGTCTCTGCCTCTCTCTCTCTCTCTCTCTCTCTCTCTGTGTGTGTGTGTGTGTGTGTGTGTCTGTCATGAATAAATAAATAAAATCTTTTTTAAAAATTCCCTTACTCTGAGATCCAGATTGGGTAACCTGGGCAAACACGCCAGGTATGATCTGCCACTATAGGTAGAAAAGAGTATCACTGAAGTTTGTCAGCTTCCTATCTTTCTTTCCCCCTTTTTTTTTGCTCTAAAAGAGTAAACCACCCCTTTTTGTGGGTCCATATGTAAATAAATATTCCATTCCTAAAACCAGTACAGACCATAATAGGCAGATACCCTATGCTGCATCCTCATGAAATTAGAAGCACTAGGCATGCA